TATATATATAAATTCTAAATCCAGCACTGGAAGAGAGATTTGCAGTCTAATATCATCTTGAAAGTGGTTGACTTTACCCCTTCTTACCTAATTTTCTTGTTCCCTCTCGGTCGTTCTGACTGAACAGACATGTAACTAGTGCTGCTGAAGCGAGATGCACTACTGGTCCTTGATACTGCTGACACATCACTCACGTCACTGTCGGAAGACTTGTTGGAGACGTTGTCAGAGCCTCGTTGAGGATCTCGCCCTGACTGATACTGTAAAAAATAGACAGATGAATATATAGAGGTGGTCAATGAAACTACAGGTTTCTTTCTCTTTGAAACTTCTATGTCAGCTGTCAGCTTTACAGGACTCTTGTGGAATGAGCGGACCTCTAATTCTTCATGTGTCCTAACTGAAGTATAAGACTTTAATAACTAAGATTTATTGGATTTTATTTATTTAAATAATTACTTGGCCATTTTTGAGAAGTTGTCATAGTGGCTTACATAAACAAATATGATCACATAACAGTAGCTAAAAACAGGTAAACAAAAACTTTAAAAAGCAGAGCAAGCGTGTCTAACTCCGAGATCACAGAAAGCTGATTCATCAAATCAAACTTCCTAAAGTGTTAAATGGAACCTTCTATGGCACAATTCCTATCCAAATCTTTTTGATGCTGGAATACATTTTATTATTTGCTAAGGTGCCACTGGATTCCTGTTTTATTGTAGTCAGTACATAATTTTCTTTGTATTTCTGGATTAATTAACAGTGAAATGCTAAAGATTAATAAAGGCAAATACATAAAATAACTAAGATTTCCTTTTCTTGGAGTGAGTTTGAGTTATACATGACTTACAATATGGAAATAATAATGCCATGAAGTCATATAAAATGTTGTGGCAGTCATAATGAGTAAGTCAGCCTCTAAATCATGTGTTCAAAAGCATTCATTAGGTTGGGTCCAATGTTCCCTCTAAGCTCCGGAGTGTTGTGAGCAAAAATTCTACCTCATGAGCAAGAAAAGCTAGTAGCATTAAAGTTGTGAGCAAGTCTACATTTGACTATTGCATAAATTAGTTTCTTAGAACATTATTTCCATAACCTTGTAAAAATCTCAGAATGAATTCTTTTAAACTATATTTTAAGAATAATGTAAACATTATAACAGAAAACAGATTCAAGTCAAATTTCATTACAGAAAATGTCCTCTATGGGGGATAACTAGGCCTCCAGAGAACAGGTCTACCTGCCCCAGTCCACTATACTGGTAGATCTGGCCTTGGACCGTCACTTCACACTGAGCCTTACTAAACATTCCACAACTTGGGGGGATTAAGAACTCTTCCAGTCTACTTTGGGACTTTTTAAGTGAAATATGACAAACTTACAGGTCAAGAATAACAGAGGTGGAACAATCACTTTCAGAACCCTGCATAAACTAACAAAAAGTGAAGTTGCTTAAATGTCAACCTGCCCAATCTACTTATTTATTCAAATATTTATATTCCACTTTTACTGTAAATCAAGGCACCTTACAAATAATACTGAAAAGCATAATAGGGGTGTGCGGGGAAAAAAATCAATTTTCTCTTGTGCTCCATTATACCCTATGGGGACTATTATAGTCAATGGGCCCCATCGGCTATAATGGAGAATAATGGAGAATCAATCTGAGGTATCTGGGGCTCTGGGGAGGGGCTGTTTTTTTAGGTAGAGGCACTAAATTTTCATGGTATAAGCTTTTGAGAGTCTACACTCTCTTGTATCTGATGAAGGAGCTCATACTCTTGAAATCATATACCACGAAAATCTTGTTGGTCTCTAAGGTGCTACTTGACTTCAATGGAATCCTTACATGGAAGGTTCTAGGAGGAGTTGAGCCTTTGAAATTCTCAGTCCTTTACTTTGATAACTTGGACATTATGGAATCTTAAGGCCAAGCTAAGCAACCAGGAAACAGTTCATGTTAGGGAGAAAGATTCTTGTGCATGTGCACACACATTTACAGTCTTCCGCTGTACCATGGTCCCGGTCACACGAGCGGGATAATCTGCATGGGAAGTGAGGCTTTTTTTTTTAATAAATATTTTTATTGATTTTCCACAATGATACATTCCACCTACAATCACATACTACTATAATAGGTTTTCTATATTTCATTTACATTTTACCGAGCAACTCTATTTTCAGAACCACATACATTTTCCTTCTATTCTATCATCAGAATACAAACAGTTGCAATTACAGACCAGATTACAATTACACACATCCAATACTATCAGTTTTTACATTTCCCTCTCTTTCCACTCTCTTCTCTACTTTTGCTCCCCTGGGAAAAAATAAAAAAGAAAACCATAGAGAAATAAAAGACCACTCAATTACTTTCCATTAATCCAGTTTTCATACCTTTTTCTTGTTATTTAATACTTTCACCTAAATGTTATCCTATTGCTTCTAAACTAATTCATTTTCCATATTTTGTTATTATTCTTTCTCCATCCACACTTTTTAGCTTACTTACATCATTTCAGTACTCAATTCCATTATAATCATTTTTCTCCTTATTTTTGTGCTCTAAACACACATTACTTAATACTTTTTAATAATCCACTTTCACAAAGCCAAATAACACTAGCAAGGACCAAAGATATCTTAAGGACAGGTATTTTCATATTCTTTCACTCTTAATATATAATCTTATAACTAAACACCCAATCCATTATTGCATCATGATTACACCCCAACTCATACATACTCTATCAAGACTCTTAATTTTATAAACATTCATTATTTCTTGTACTCTAAACACAGAGTCACTATTTCTCTATTCATTCACTCCTATTCCATTAGACCAAAATCATATATAGAGCAGTTTAGAAAACCAACCAAGAAAAAAGAAAAAGAACAGAAACTTTAACAACCATTTTTACCATGGTCCTTTCATTTTGTTCTGTTCCATCACTCTTAATTATATTCTAATCAGCAAGCTTCCACTTTAGGGCATTTTCAAAACGTATCAAAATAATTTTAGCGACCATTTTCACCATGTTCACTTAATTTCATTTCACCACTCCTAAATTCATATCCTCTAACATTTTAAATTATATCCTAAAATATGGTCTTCCAATTAATCCAACCTATTCATTCAAATATACATCATTCCTTACATACATAATATGCAATCAAAAATATATAACAAATTCATATAATTTAATTTGCCTTCTATAGCCCTGTAGTTTTTTGTCCTGCAGCAGCATATCTGTGTGTTGTTTCTCTAGCATATTTATGCGAAGTTTCTCTTTACATCTATGATGCTTCTTTTCCCCTCTCTCAATTTCTTTTGGAAAGTCATATCTCCACACTATTTTGTTCTCACATCGTCCTTGTCTTGTCTTACTCCATTTCTTCTTCTGTATTAATTGAATTCTATGGCTTTTTCCCTTTCCCTTTCCTTTTATCTTCCTTCTCTTCCCTTGTTTCTTTTTACTTATTTTTATTTTTCCCATTTGGATTGGGGAATAAAAATCTGGTAGTTCTGAGTCCTCTTTTATTTCCTGAAAGTCCCTTGTCTCATCCAGCTTACTTATGTTTGAGTCCAGCTTTTCAACTTTCTTTAGTGCGATAGGAGTGTCATTTAGGCATGCAAAGGCTTGTTTAATTCCCTCATTCATAGCCTTTTGGAATTCTTCTTTTAAAGTCTCTAGAAACTGCTCCACTGTTATATCCGTCAGTAATAAGTTATCCTCCAGCTTCTCCCCTCTCTCCTTTTTCCCTTTAGATGCCATTTTTACAGACAGTCCTTCAGCTGTAAAATGCAGCCTACAAACTTAGTACCAATTATCCGCCGGGCGAGGGGGGGGGAACTTACAATATTCTCAAAAAAAAAAGAGTATTTTCCCAAGGAAGTAACAAGTATTGCCCCAAATAAAAAGAAAGTCATATTGTACTTAGCTACTTTTCCCGTCTTCTGGCCGCTTTGTCCTTCCTTCTAACGCTGACCACTTTCGGGGCACAAATTTCCTTAAAGACTTGTGACAATTTTTGAAGTTCTCTTCATTGCTCATAGTCCAAAGTTATAATCCTCTTTTAAAGATAAAAAGAACGGGTGGTCGTTTCTAGTGAACATGGCAGCCATGTTTGCTTGTTCCTTGCCTCAGCATCGGGGCTGCTCTGGGCACCTCTCCCGCCCTGCCAGTTGTGGGGGAGGGCCAGAAAAACGCCCCCTGCACCAGCCCCCACCTCCGGGGAGCTGGTCGAGCTCCCCCGTCGTTCGGGGGGGCCCTCAAATGAAGCAAAAACAGCTCGGGCGGGGACGGAGCCTATTGCACTCCCACCCGCCCGTCGAAACGCCATACTGGAAGTCAAAAGTGAGGCTTTTAGAGGCGGAGCAAAATGAAGCACGGTAGCGCACTCTGACATCCCCCCGAGGCGCCGTGCTCAGGCCTTTGGCAGCCGATCACACTAAGCAAGGCAACACAGCAGTTTATGTTTGCGTGGGACGTGGACGGGCGCTGGCTGCGATGGGTTACCAGCGCTTCCCCGATCAGACGTCCACCCGCGCTGTGCATTTTCTGGAAGACACTGCATGTTTCCTAGTATCTTTGGGCCGAAGCTATGGGTTGGAGACGGGCACGCCATGCTTGCCAGATGTTGCTGTATGATTGCACCCGTTTCATCTGCCGGCAAGCCATCCCTCTCGCAAGGCAAATTCTCCGTGTGACTGGGACCCATACAGATCTTCTAGTTGTGTAGCATTAAAAAGAGAAAGGTCATCTAGAGTGCCTCACTGTTAAGTCTTTTTACTAGTTTTGCAACATTTCATTTCTGTACATATACTTTACAATGATGAAATCATAGGACAGAAACAGATGACCATTTGACCACACATCTTCAAGTCAAGAGTGGTATAATGCTCCTTACCACTTGCCAAAGTGCTATAAACTATTGGGTTAACAATTAAAGGTATACCATTGTAAGTTGCATGTGTGGCCTATTATGTACAGGAGTTTTGCCTCGCTTTCACCACACATGTCTGTTGGGTTATATTTTTCATTCTGCATTGTTTTTCCTCCCTTAAGCGCTCAGTTTGCTTTCCGTTCACTGTTTTCCTGGGTTTTCTGATTGTGCTTTTGTGCTGGTTTTTCTCTTGCTTTGCTTCCAAGCCGAAGGTAATTCAAAGGCATGCAGATTCCCTCGGATTCGCCCCCTGCCCCTTGTACGCCACTCCCACATCCACATCCAGAACGTTTTGCCCACATTGTACCTT